TGTCTTAGCGCTCCAGATGTCGGTGCGCGACCTACACAATGTAAACAGAGCACAGAGATTTATTCTGCATTTTTCTGTATTGATTCGAGATCGCTTGAGAATGCTTTTCTCCAAAATTCTAAAATATTTAGAGGAAAAAATGGCCCCACTTGAAATCGACAAAAATATTTGTAATGTAATTATCGCCTTTATAATGCCAATAGTCATGGAAATAGAATAATTTCGATATAAACACTGTTTATGTTTGTTACTTTGCTCATGTCAATTTGCAGAATATGAAGTTATCTTATACAAGTAGGTAGAATAACACTCGATTACTTTGTAAAAACATCGTAAATATATTTTTTTTTTAATTTCAAGGCAAATGAGAATGAGACGCAGTAATTGGTGCGCAGATTCAATCATAAAACAAAAATTATGATAATTCTTTCGGCGTTTTAGTGAAAAGAGTTTTCACGCGATCTTGAATCAATACAGAAAAACTCAATATCTCTATTGAGTTGGCTATTGAGAGTATTAATAAGAGGTGGAATTTTTTGAGGGATAAGATCAACATCTCGAAAGATGAATTTATGATGGGGGGATCCGGTTGGTACTTAATTCAACTTATTTTAGCTTTGATGAGTAGTTTTATAAAATTTTGGTACCCCTATGAGATCGCCTTTCTCTCCAATAGTAGCCGATTTAATAATGAGGGATTTGGACGCAAGGACATTAGAGATTTTGAGTTTTCGACCTTGTTTTATTTTCATTATGTAGACGATATTGTTATGAGTGTTCCAAAAAATTTTATTGACTTTACACTTGAGATCTTTAATTTGTTACAAATTAAAATTTACCGTAGAATTTAGTGACGACAAAATAAATTTTTTGGATATTACTATTATTAATAATATAATAACAATCTAATTGAATTTGACTAGTACCATAAGCCTACGCATTCAAGAAGATATCTTAATTTTTTTCACATCCACTCTCACAAAAAAGAGGCATAATAATAGGTATGACAGATAGAGCGTCTTTACTAATGGACTTTAAATATCATAAAAAAAATTTCGACACATTATCAGTACATTACTAAAAAATGATTATCCGATTGATCTAATTTTGAATACTATTAACACACGTTAAAAAATTTTTATTCATAAAAGTACGATACAACCAAAAGAATCAAATGATGAAATCAAGAAAGATTGTATTTCTTGATTTGTACTACTATATATTCTAAAAATTTCAGACGAATTCAAAAGGATTAGTAAAACTTTTATTTAAAACCCGCTAAATTAGCTTTTACTAAATAAATTAAATAGTTTGATGAAGGGACACAAAGACATTCTTCCAAGAGAAAAGGGAAAAAAATGTTGTGTATAAAATCTCATGTAAATCCTGCGATGCCTCTTATGTTGAACAGACAGAAAGAAAACTTAAAACTAGATTGGCTCAACATCGTAATCATATTAATCGGAATAGTAACCAATCGGTGATCACAGGACATCAGATTGAACTTGAACATGACTTCGATTGAGAGAATGTCGCGATATTAGATGAAGAGCATTTTCTTAATAAACATTTAATATCTGAGTGTCTTCATATACTCATGCAACAAAATAGTCTCAATTTACACTCAGATACAGAGGGTATACATCAAACTTACATACAATTATTAAAAGACGTTAAATAATTATATGTTGTCGAGTTATACAAATTATTGTTTATGTATTGACTTTGTTCTATCTTCTTTTTATTTTCCTTGTTGACCTGATACGTCTTACTTATTACATAAAATGTATTAGTAATGTTTCGTTCTAACTGCGATTAACATGCGTTTTAACATGATACTCTTTTGTGATAATAAATTTTTAATTGTTTTTTGCTCAAACGTCGAGACAAATTCCTTCGAGACGAATGCCTTGGGGTGAGTCACCAGTTTTTTAATTTTAATTTTTAACTTGTTAGATAGAATAGTTTGAAATATTTATATTATAATTGTGTTAATGTTTTTGATTAGATTTTATAACATCAAATCTGTTAATCTGATGATGATTTCCTTGGACATGAAGGGAGTGATATTTTGAAATTGTATTGCTGAGGATAGTTTCAAAGTGAATTGAAACGTACTATTTTTTGGAATAAAGATTTAAGATTGCGTATTAACTACCACGCTGACTCTCATTCGCCCCGGTTTTTTTTTTTAGATATTTTGTTGTTGAATTTGGGAGAACCCGTAAGAATTATAAATTATTATTTATAATTTAATATTTACTAAAAGGAGATCGGATGGATATAAAATTATACATTGGTAATTGCTAACTAAGCCAGAAAATGATAATGAGAAAGCGATTTATTAATCACATAGTAGAAGGATGGTATGGTCGGTTTCAGCAAAAGCGCTCCTTTTGTGAATCGGGGTATCATTCAGATCTCAAGTCTGCCAACTGCGAAGAAATAAATGAGATTGTTATGATTGATTTCAATGCATCTTCATCACATCCCGCTATGTATCCTTTTCTCTCTTACTACGCAAATATTAAAATTTATTGTGTATCGTTTAAGTAATTATATAGTTTTATTCTCTTGTAATTTTTAAAGTACAATGTACGTGTGATTGATACGTTTAGTTTGAGCCCTCTTAAATTACACTGTCCAATTATAATCTTATAATTGTAAACTCATTTGTCATTTATTAAAGTTTCTTTTATACAAGCAAAATTCATTTTTATTTCAAAGTTTATCCTGCATAGCTGTATAAATGAATACATAAAGAAAATTCTAATTGCATTTTACGAATGTCTTCATAATAGATATGCGATTGGATAATTCTCTTTATGCGGTTATACAAGTTAGTCTAAACAAATTTTTATCTTAATATTTTTCCTTTTTTTATTATTATTATTATTATTATTATTATTATTATCCTTTATTTGTAAACTATAACACATTTTATTTTTTTTCAAAATTGTTTCATTTATCGGCATCTTTTTTTCTAATTTTTTGTTGAATCTTGTTCGAGATCGGTAATTCGGAAGAAAAGCAAGAATTCTTTCAGTCGACCGACATTAATTGTCATTGAACGCATGCATAAATTGCGCTCGTGATTTCATCTCGAGCATGATCTTAATCCTCGTTAAAATCATCGAATTGGT